CGCCCCGCGCCCGCCCGGGGAGGAGGGGGCCGCGCCCAGCGCCGCCGCTATAAAGGAGCCGCCCCGCCCACGGGGAGGGGCCGGGGGGCCCGCACGTGGGTGGCAGCCCCGCCTACGGCCGGACGCGCCTCCTCGCGCAGCCCGGTAGCTCCTGTACAGCGCCATGCACAAAGGGTTGGGCTGGGTGCTCAGCCTCGGCGTGTGCGCGGAGACCGCTCGTGGAAGAGCTCAGCCCCAAACGCGCCGCTGGGAAGTTGCAAACCGCTGTAGGACCCGAGGTGAAAGTGGAGACCATTAGGCAGCCCTTCCTATGCACAGTTACTGCTCGCCGAAGTGACAATGCAGATCATCCACTTGTTAGTTCATCGTTGACTAGACCCAAAGACACAGAAGCTGTCGAATAAATGATAAACAGGAGCCTATGTGCAAGCTGTGCTGGGAGTAAGGACTTGCCCGCACGGTGTGCAGTGCAAGACACAGGTTGCCAGGAATTTTTCAGTGAAATGGACTTTTTTGGTTGGAAAGTGCTCATGTATCCCAACTGAAACTCTCATAGGACTGTGGCTAAAGCAGAACACCCGGGGGAAACCAACAGCTCATTGGGACCTCGGAGATACTAGCTCTGTCTCCGTTCTGCTGGAGTCTTGAGCCTGGGGATCCTCTGAAAGTGGTAGCCACTGGGACATCCAGTTACTCTTTCTGTTGGAGCTGTCCTGTTTTGTAAAAATAAAGGTTCTGTCTTTTCTTGCGGGTGATTTAAACATCCCAGCATCACTGATGCAGAATGACAACAAATTCTAGAAACATTTTTGTGTGCATCTGTGAAACACAAATCGTGTGTTCTGGTCAGCCTTGTTACAGAAGCGAGGCCAGAAAAACAGCTGCTGGAACACAATGCTGAGCTCATTGTAGTCGATGGCCTAAATTCAGAAAGGTGCCGAGCACCTGTGCCTCACAGTGGGCCCAATACTGAATCCACTGGCATTAATGCACCTACACGTGTGCTGGATGCTTGCTCTGATGCGTGCTAACATGCTGGAGCGACTTGATTAATTGAGTCTAATTAGCACACTCCAGCAGCCGCACATCACGTCTATTTAGCATCCTCATGTGTCAAAATGGTGGCAGGGACACTTTAACAAAAGCTCGTCAAATGAGCTTTTGTTAAAGCACCTCCACTGCCATTTTGAAGCTCAGGATGCTGAATACAAGAGATGCTGCAGGCGCTTTAATTACAGCAGCTCTAATTAAAGCACCACCCCACCCCAGAGAACATGTAAGTACACCCTGTGCGACTAACAAATACTCACCAGCTTGCAGGATCCCATCTGCTGTTACCAGGGCCGTCCCTTTCCTTGGGAGTGCGAATCGGGGCAATCGCCCCAGGCCCCACGCTTTGGGGGGGCTCCGTGGTCAGTGCAGTATAGGCCCCACTGCGGCTGCCACGCATGGCTGCTGCTGAGCACCACCGGCTCTGGCTGCTCGCCACCCGCCCCCCCAGCTCCGCCAGCTCCTGCTGCTTGCCACACCTCCCCCTCCCCCCGGACCCCTCACACCCCTAGGGACGGCTCCGACTGTTACCCTCTTCCTGCTCTTATTCAACTCAGTGTATTTGCCATGGATTTCAAATGCAGTCAGTTTAAGGCTTTATTTTGCAACAAACCATACAGTTTGAAGAGTGGCTCTTAACCTATCTTTACTTAAGAAGAAAGTATGTAGGGTTGCCTTCTAATGTCTGAGTCAAAGGGACTAATGTGGTTACTCATGCTGCCAACTATCCTAGTTGTACGTTAACTCATACAACCGAGGCCTACAGTTCGGGTGCTGTGCACCAGGGTTTTGTTCCCAGCTCGCCTGTGATTTATTATCTAGTAATTGTGTATTTGGTTTGCAGTACGTGGCTACAGTAGTGTTGTGTGGTGCTTTAATGAGCATTGTTTCCATGCTGGTTGCACAACCTCTCCCTCTGATATTATCTTCCCATTTGAAGATTGCCACTGATGGAAAGTTCCTAGCTCCTTTACATGCCAGTGAAAGCTTGTCTGTGTTTCAGAGTTAACGTTTCCTGGAAATCACCATTATACAGTGACAGTGGAGTTTGGCCTTTGTGGTGAGTTTGTGCTGATTCCAGACCCAACTTCATAATTCAATGCATGCAGCACATTCCTTGCGAGCACCACTGTTAAATAGTTTCATCCTGAGCCTGAGCTTGAAACTATGCTCTACTTACTTTCTGGCCTAGGAAAGGGTGAAAACACTGCAGTCATATTTGAATGTTGAGGGTTTGTAAATTAGAAGAACCACAAAAATATTTGGATTCAAGAATGGAAAAGATATACCAGTCATAGGGATTATTATTACTTTACAGCATCTGCAAATACACTAAAACCTCAGCTTAGCAAAAAACATGCAAATGTGCTTTAATTGTAAGCACAAGTAGTGAATGAACCAGGCACTGACTTAAGGTATTTGGGCAAGGTAGGGTATAAGTGCTTTGCAGAATCTATGTAAGAGGCAGGTATTTGTCTTTGATAATTTACAGCCTAAATAATGGCAGACAGAAGAAGATATGAGCTACCCTGAGAGGAGGAGGAGGAGGAGGGAAGCAAGGTTACAGAAAGAAGACAGTGAGGTTTCTTAGTTTAGGCCACAAGCTAAAAATATATTTTGATGATCCACAAGCTGCGAGGACTGGATAACCCAAGTGCAGACTCACTCTTTTCTTTGGGAAGCAACCCAGAATGATTTAAAAGCACTCTAGGAGCAGGTGGAGAAGAGTTTCTTATTTCATGCAGAGATTGGCCCATACCAAAACTGCACCATTTCCTCCCAACCTCTCCTGATGTAGTTGTACTTCTTGGCCAGCTACACCCTTGACCTAGTGAGTTTGGCTGTAGTAACCTCGTATGATCTCAAAAGTCCTCTCAGGGTTTGCCTCATGTCCTAGTCCTAGCCAATCATTAACTGCCCAGTAAAGGATCACACTAGGATGGATTGTTAGTGGGTTATTCATTGGATTTATTTATCTTTGTGTCCTTATCCCTTCCTATTAATCTCTTACCTTCTGACCAGTGATCTAAGCACATTGCCTTCATCATGGCTGGGGCTGCTGTGTAAAGGGGCATGTAGAGCAAAGAGGCATCCATGGAGCTGAGTGTAAGGGGATGTTGCTGGATCGTTGTGGGGAAAGGTAGCTCATAGCTTCACAGTTGTCTACTGGCCTTGAGAAGGAAAACACCTAGATTCTCAGACCTAGCAGGCAGTCAGAAGCTGTTCAATTGAAGGCTAGTGGGTAGCTGTGGTACAGAGTGCGGGGGGCATGGTGGCAGCAAGCAGGGAGCTCCCGCAGGTGGCGGTGGCAGAGTCAGCAGCGATGGGGTGTGAGCACCAACCAGTGGTTGGCGACCATCCATAGACACTGCCGGTGGCGGAAGTGGCGGCCAGCTGTGATCGGTGACCGCCCGCAAATGCCACCGGCAGTGTCAGCTGCAGAGGGTGAGGGAGTGGCAAGCAGCAACCACCCACAGGCACCACCAGCATCATCGGCAATGGCCAATCACAGGGGTGCACCGCCAATCTCAGGGGGTGCACGTGCACCTGTGTGCAACCCCTATGTATCGCCGATGACTTGAACCATTATTTTTTTTGTCTGGAGAAGCAGAGGCTCCAATGTCACCAATGCCCTTGGCTACAGGTTGGAATACCAGGTTCTTGGAGCCCGGGACTGACCCAGGAAAATGGGCAACTTCAGCTAGTATGTATAGGGCTATCCTTGTGATGTTCACGTGGGCCAGCCTGCTGTGAAATATGCAAGAGTCTGCTTTCATAAGACAGAATGAAGATACGCTACCTCATCCAGGCTGTTCAGAGGGCTCCCATTCAATGTCTATGAGATGCTCAGAGTGACCCACTTCAAGGCTTGTTGATCTGACTGGTGAGCCGTTTAACAATGATATGTAGTGCACCGGAAAATGTAACCACTAGCAACAGACTCTTTTCTCCCCATGATTTCTCTGCTTTGCATGCCGCACTGATATTCCTAACAGCTGTGCGGTCCTTGGATGCAGCCCCCGGAGATCTGTCTCATGGCCCTGGAGAGTATAGATACAAGGATGCCACATTTACTCACAGGCCAAGCAGCCAGATATGATATTGTATGCTGCGAACTGTAACCTAATCAGGCAGCCACTTCTGATTAAAGATGTAGGGTGTCTATACACGTGCTCCGGGGTGGACACTTTAATTAGAGACTCTGAGAGCCGCTCTAATTCAAGCGCTTGCAGCGTCACATGTATTCAGCGTCCTGTGCTTCAAAATAGCAGTGGGGGCTCTTTAACTAAAGCTGTTCAACAAGCTTTAGTTAAATGCCCCCACCGCCATTTTGAAATGCGGGGACACTGAATACACCTGATGCAAAGGCTGCTAGAGCATGCTAATTAGCATGCTCCAGCAGACTAGTTCATTGAGTCTGCTCCCACATGTGCTAATTAGCATGTGCTGAAGCAGAGGTCTGTCACTTGCATGGGTGGCTGCAGACAATTACAAACTACCCCAGTCTAGGTCAATTAGGTGCTACCATTGGGTTCATACCACTTTGCTAACATGCCTTCTTAGTTTAACAACATCTGAGCTAAATCCTGCTCTGAGTTACAACTATGTAAGTCTGGAGAAACTCCTATGAATCAATTAAGTTACTCCAGGTTTGCAGCTGCCATGATTA